ATATATATATATATATATATATATGCAAATAAATGCACATGCATACACGCATGTAAACATACATTTATATCATGTAATATACATCCACAATATAGACATGTATGTATGTTTGTTGCATTACATACACCGCCATACACTGCAAGCATTTAAACTGAATTTGGAGTTTAAATGTTTTGCAGTATTTATTGCAACGAACATACATATATGAGAATAGGCATTCTCCAGCAAACTCACCCTTCGCTTTCCTAGCCATCTCTTTGCCTAACATCGTTTCTGCATCATCTAAAGCAGGCGTCTTAGGAAGAGGGAGTTCTTTAAGGTAATCAGGGAGGTTATCGGGTCCCCCTGATTCCCGTGCAATTGCTGCCATTTCCTGCTGCAGCAGCTGCTGCACTTGCTGCTGCTGCTCAGCAGGCAGCGGGTCCACATACGGCAGCGCATCCAGCACCATGGCATGCGGCAGACGGTCAGTCAAATAAAAGTTCACAGGATTCGAACCTGAATTGGTGGGCTCCGCCTGAACGGCCCCATTGGTAGCCACTAAGGAATGGGGAGCCCCTGATGGAGGCCCCCCATTCACTGAGACGCCAGAGTCTGCCATAACACTGCTGCTGCTGTTACTGCTCCTGCTGTTCTTTCTGCACCTGCTGCTGCTGCTGTTGTTGTTGTTGTACCCGCTGCTGCTGTTGTTGTCGTGCTTGGCGCTGCTGCTGCTGCGGTCGTGCCTACTGTTGCTGCTGCTGCTGTAACTGTTGTTGCTGCCGCTGCAAACCTTGCAGCAGTATGCGCAGATCTCCTACTGAATTTGCTTCCCTTTTTTTAGCTATTTAAACGGAAGGAGCGGAGCCGTTGCTACTGTAGTTTGTAGGTGGAAGGTCGGGCCCCTCTGGGGCCCCTGCATGCACTGAGGTGTATCGAATAAGATTATTCAGCAGCGTGCATTTGGTTTATAAGTCAAAAAATATTTAATTATCGAAGGGTTTTCTGTTTCTTCTACAACGAATTATGGGGCCTCCTGAGCCCCAGAGGACACAGCCGCACTGCATGCGCGAGCACTTGCACGCTCTGCCACTCTTGCAGCATATCTTTTCTCTTGTTGATGTTAAGACAATTTTAATCGAACAAACTGAACGAGATGCACTCCAATGAGCCCCTAGGGTTTAGGGTTTTGGCTTAAGGTTTTCAGAAACCCTGCAACACATTGCAGTGCAGCTGCATGCAACAACTCTACACTGATCTGGGGGCCCTTGGGGGCCCCTGAATGAGCTCCATTGTGCGTTATCTCTGCATGCATCTGACGCTTCTCCCCTATAGGGCGCAGATGCCTGCAGCTGCAGCCTTCACCCGAGAAGGCGCATGCAGCTGTGTTGAAGATAAAGAAGATCGAGGGGGTCCTGGTAGAGAGAAGAGAAGAAAACGCCTCAAATGCTTGAGACACCCCATGCAACCCAAGGGGGGCCCCACAAGGCCTGCAACGCCGCTGCTGTCTGTGCAGCAGCAATCGCCTGGTCCCTTTATTCAATCAGCAGCGCTTCTACTGAAGTCTCTCAGACACTTAGAATAAAAAGATACTCGGCTAAGCCAGGGGCGATACCTCCCCCATATATATATATATATATATATATTTGTAAAACACGCCTTCAGGCACCCTTTGTTAGTTGTCTGCCTCGCACTTGCAAGAGCTAAATGGCTGTACAGCTGAAGAGCGAAAGGTTTAAGGAGTTTTGCAGGCACTCCACAACTGCCATTCACAGTCTAGCGCCTCTAACTCCTAAAACTGAAGCGACGCTAGCAAGGCTGTCATTATGAGGGGGCTGCTGCTCGTTAGTTGCATGCGTTATACACTCTCAACCCTAGCAGTATAAACCCCAGCAACACACACCCTCTAAGTACTAACAGCATAAGTTCTAATAACAATCTGAAGCCCCTAAACCATAACAGTATAACCACAGCACGACACGGAAAAAACATAGGTAGAAAGGAGGAAAAAGAAAAAGAATCAAAGGTGGGACCCGCATGAAGCAGACGAGGGGAACCCTAGGGGGCCCCAGAGAAGCTCGAGGGGGCCCTCAGCAGCAACAGCAGATGCTGCAGCAGTGTCCGCAAGGCCACACAATCAGACAAACAGAACAAAGAACACCCCATAAACAAACCGTCACTCTAAAAGACCCCAAAAAGAAGCATCAGGTGCTCAACCCTGCAACGAAGGTGCCCCAAAATCAGATGCCTGCTGTCCCTCGTTTTCGTCGTTATCTTCTATTTCGATTAGCTAATGGAAGCAGCAGCCACTCACCAACGCAATGCATGCGTGTTGCTGGAGGGAGAAGACTGCAGCAGCTGCAACGCGAACAGCGGGAGCAGCAGCGAAAGAGGACGCAGACGCAGCAGCAGCTACAGAAACAGCAGCAGCAATACTAGTGGTGCTGCTGCTGCTGCTTCCTGCATGCGTGAGGCAGAAAAAAACCAATGTTTTCTCTTTCTTTCAGATGCTGATAATGCAATCTCGGTAGCGCTGCTTTGGCTGTCTTCTTTTGCTGCGAGGCCTTAACCTGCCTTCCATATTCGTGCTGCTGCTGCTGCCAGTGATACGCGGCAGTACCCTGCTGCTGCTGCTGCTGATGTAGCATTTTCGCTGCTGCGCCTGGGCTTCGGTCCAGGGCCTGCTGCTGGAGATGCGGTAAGTCTGCTCTTGAGCGGCTCTCCATTGGTCATATATCCTGCTGCTTCTGATGCTGTTGCTGCTGCTGTTACCGTCATTCACTGTAAGTGCACTTAGATGTGCTTTGGGCTGGGGCAGTCTAAGGAGCTGGTGCTCCTCCCGGTGCTGCTGCGCCTTCCGGTGCTGCTGCTGCTGCTGCTGAGATTCATTGAGGGGGCTTCCACCGTGGAAAACCTTGCCACGGCCTCGTTGACTGTTCAATCCGCTGTGGCCGATGCAGCTGACGAAGCCGCTGCTGCTGCTGTTGTTGCTGGTACTGGTATTTCTGTAGCTGCTGCGATAGCTGGTTGAGTCGCCGCCGGTGTTACTGGCGCTGCCAGCAGCAGCAGCAGATACGGATACATCGGGGTGAGGCCCTGGTGAACAGCAGCTGCTGCGGGCGTCGTGATAGCTAATGCAGGTTTTGGTTGTAGTTGAGATGAACTGCCTGTGAAAGACAGGCTGCCGTGCTGCAGCTGTTGCTGCTGTTTTCGCTGCTCCTGTTAGTGTGCATTGTCGCGCTGCTGCCGATCGTGCTGCTCTCTCTGCTGCTGCAGTGACGCTCTTGGGCTGCAACTGCGACGGCGAGCTGCTGGTGTCTGTGTTGCTGATGCTGCTGCTGCTGCTGCTGCTTCTCGTGACGCGCATTATGATTCCCTTGAGGCTGCTGCTGTACTCCTTACCAGTACTATTGCTTCTGCTGCTGTTGCTGCTGCTCTTATTGTTGCTGCTGCTCCTCTTATTGCAGCTGCAACTGACGACGCGAAGCCGACGGCCCCGAAGCTTCTCAAAGACTGGTGCTATCTCAAGGATCCCTGGCTGAATCATGTGCTGCTGCTGGTGCTGCTGCTGCATGCGCTGCAGCAGCAGTTGCTGCTGGTCCCCAAGTCTTTTTCGGGCTCCCTGCGACTGCTGCGGTTGCCTTCGCTGTTCCGCTGCTGCTGCTGTACGCAGCGTTCGCTCCATTGCTGTTGCTACTGCTGCAGCTGAGCCGTCGATATAGCCTCCAGCTGCAACGGGATCCGCAGCAGAAGCAGCAGCTGCTGCAGATGCTGACGCTACTATGTTTTCTGTTGGTGCGACATTATAACCAGCAGCCGCAGCAGCTGCAGCAGCTGCAGCAGCTGGCACTGGTATGGTCGGTGCTGCTGTTGACTGTTGCGCGCTGCTCTGTGCATGACGAGCAGCAGCAAATGCAGCACGAACCTCAGCAGCAGCAGATGTAGCAGCAGCAAAAGCCGCAGCAGGACCCTCTTCTGCTGCTGATGAGGGGTCGTATTTCATGCATGAGACGCCTCTTCCTTCTGATCTGCTGTTGCTCCCGTGTCCTTTCCAATTGGGCGAGGGTCTCGCAAGTCTGCTGCGGTGCGCTTGGCCACTGCATCTGCTGCTGCAGCTCCTGCTGCAGCAGCTGCTGCTCCTGCTGCTGGGCGTCCACCCACCGGAGGCGCTGTGACCGCCCCCCTTGACAGCAAACGACAACACCTGTTTAGCTTCCTTAGCGGGAGCTGCAGCAACGCGACGGGCTTCAGAACCTGCAGCACCTGCTGCTGCAGTGGCTGCTGTTGCTGCTGCTGCTGGTCTGGGCGCTGGCGGTACCTCACTGATGATCTTGTGATTGCTGCATCTGCTGCTGCTGCTGCATCTGCTGCAGCAGCAAGTGCTGCTCCTCTTTGTCGCCGTTGCAACTGCCCCCCCCTTCGCCGTGTCTCGGTAATGTTGTGAGCATCCCCTGAGGATGCTTCTGCCTGCTGCTTTATCTGTTGTTGCTGCTGCAACAGCAGCACGCTGCTGCTGCTCCAGATGGGCAGCAAGGGCTCCTGAACACAGCAGCACTTTTGCATGGGCTTGCGACCCTCTTGCTGCACCGTCACATCAGCAGCAGCTTCAGCAGCAGCCACACCGGATGCAGCAACACAAGCAGCAGCAGAAGCAGCAGCAGCAGCAGCAGCAGCACCTATGCGACTAGCAGTACACCCCAACGGATCGACCTGCTGCAAGAAGGCTCTTGCCGTCTCCCAGGGGTCTGCTGCTGTAGCAAATCACCACCAGCACAAGACACGCAGCAGCAGCAGCAGCAGCAGGGTATCCTCAGCCCTGAATGTAATCGTTACTTTTGGATTACCTATGGGTATTGTTTGTCGTTTGTGTTGTTGTTTGCTGCTAGCATCAGCATGCTACTGCTGCTGCAGTCTCTTCGCTTTGTGTTTCTTTTTGCTGCTTCATTTGCATGCATGCGTTGCTGTGTAGAGTACTGCCTTTGTATTTGCTGTCCCCGTATCTCCCCAGACACCATATGGCTGCGGTTAAGAGCAGCAGATGCTGTCTTTGCTGTGCTGCTGCTTGTTTGCTTCGTTGTTGTTTGCTGTATTTGTAGGGTTTTGCTGCTCGCAGCATTCACTTGAATGTCTCACATCTTCAGGTACGGCAAGACCCTGTATCTAGCGGCAAAACCCTAAAGCCTAAACCCTAAACCCTCGGAACTCTATATTCTAAGCAATAAACCTTAGACCGTAAACCCTACGCCTAAACTCTAATCCTTCAACCTCAAACCTTAAACCTACAACCTACGTCCTAAACCCTAAACCCTAAGACTCAAACCCTAAACCCTAAACCCTAAGCGCTAAACCCTGGGCTAGGGAGACCACCACAGACGGAAGACAGACACGAGAGGAAGAGAGGGTGAAGCGAGGAAGCAGCAACGAAGCAGCAGCAAACAGAGAGCAGCAAGCAAAGAGCAGCAACCCAGGAGCAGAAGCAGCAGCAAACAAGAAGCAGCAGACAGCAAGCCAGCCACCCATGCAGAAGCATGCAGATGCACAAAAAACAGCAGCAAACAAAACGGAACAAACCACGGAGAACAACAAGCAGCAAGAGCATCAAGGGAAGCTATCCACAGCAGCAGCAGCAGCCACATTCGCTGCTGCTGTTAAGACTGTCTATCCTCATGGAAGTGAAGAGAATGCCGTATACAGGAGACAAGACATATATATATATATATATATATACAACTATATATTAGGAGTGCAGCAGCTACTTAGGCAACTGCAGAGGGTTTCCACACACAGCCCTAATACGACTGTCGTCAGCAGCAGCCAATCCTCTCGAGCAGCAGCAGAAGCTGCTGCTGTTGTTGTTGCTGCTGTAGTTGTTGCTGCTGTTGTTCCTGTGCTTGCTGCTTCTGCTGCTCCGTAGAATTCGGCGGTCATTCTAACAGACGGTAGTATGCACGACTTCGTAACGTGCTGCTGCTGTTGATGCTGCTGCTGCTGCTGCTGCAGCGACTTCTGTAGCAGCACACAGCAGCACTGCAACACAGACACACTAATAGGTGTACCCGTTGAACTAACTGCGCTCTCAATAGTGATATGAGGAATGCCCGGAGCAGCGGCAGCAGCCGCAGCTGCTGCTGCAGCAACGACAGCAGCAGCAGGACAAGTAGCTGTCTATTGCATCTTCTACAACAGATCTCGCAGCCTTTTCTTAAGCTCTCTAAACTCATTACTGGGATCGCATCTATTGAAGATATTCCAGAGCGTGCCGCAGGCTGCTACAACAGCAGCTGCAGCAGCCGCTGCTGCAGTTGCCTGCTCCTGCTGCTGCTGCTGCTGATGCTGCATGCAAGGTCACTGGGTGTCAGTCGCGTCTCTGGAAGAAGAGCCTCTTCTTCCCTTTACTTCTTTTGTCTTTTGTTTGTCTTTGTTGCAGATCTTTCTTTGCCTTTTGTAACTCCTTGTTGCGGGTGTACTCCTTTCGAACAGGAGCTGCAGCAGCTGTCTCCTTAACACCGGTCAGCAGCAGCAGCAGCAGCAGCAGCAGCAGCAGCAGCAACGACGGGTTCTTGCTCTTTTGTTGGGTTCAAGAATGAGTTCTTCTGCTGATAAAAACGTAAAGGCAGCAACAGCTGATGAGATGGCGTCCGCTCGTACAGCCGACACATCTCCCGTTGCTGCTGCTGCTGGTGCTGCTGCTGCTGCTGCTGGTCAGGACGCCGTGAGCAGCAGCAGCAACAGCAGCAGCAGCAACAGCAGCAGCAACAGCAACAGCAGCAGCAGAGGCCGCAGCAGCAGCAGGAACTACGGCGTGGCGTTGGGGGCCATTGGCGCTGCTTTGTCTGTCACCCTGCTGCAGTATCTTCCCCGTCTGTTTTCTGCTGAGGGTAGGGCAGCATTTCGTGCTGCTCTGCTGCAAGCAGGAGGCGGTGATTGGCTGCTGGTTTGCTGCTGCACTCTCTTCTCCTTCGGGTGTATAGGCAGCATCCTCTACAACGCACGCTTGGCGCATAACTGGAGGCTTGAGCGGTTTATTGTTGCTCTTGTTGCTCAGCAGCGGAGACAGCAGCAGCTGCTGCAGCAGCAACTGCAGCAGCAGCAGCAGAAACAGAACTTGAAGCATCACCAGCAGAAAGCTGCCGAGCGGGAGAAGCAGCAGCAGCAGCAGCAGCAACACGAACACCATGACGAATGCTGCTGCTGCGAGGAGGAAGAAGCAAAAATAGGTGTTCTCTTCGTTACTGCACATCCTGATGATGAGTGCATGTTCTTCGCCCCGTCTTTGTCTCTATTCACATCGAAGAAGGAGAGGTTTGAGGTCTTCTTACTCTGTCTCTCCACAGGTAAGCGCAAGCAATAACTGCTGCTGCGGCGGCAGCAGATGCTGCCGCTGCTGTTGCTGCTGTGACGGCGGGTGCTGCTACCGCGGTTGCTGCTGGAGTGCCGGCGGAGGGTGTTGCTGCTGCTGCTGCTGCTGCTGCTGCTGCTACTGGTACAAGCGATGCTGCGGGTGTTGCTGCTCCTGCTACATCTGCTGCTGCGGGCTTGGGCGTTGCTGCTGTTGTGCCGCATGCAATTATTGTGATGCTTCTGTTGCAGCTGCTGCTGCAGCTTCTGCTGTTGCTGCCGCTTCTGTAGCTGCAGCATCACCATGGTCATGGCCTTGTTCTCTGTTGGCGCTGCTGCCGTTGCTGCTGTTGCTGCTGTTGCTGTTGTTGCTGCTGCTGCTGTTGCTGCTGCAGGGGACTACGAGGGTCTGGGTGCGACCCGTAGGGAGGAGTTGTTTGCTGCTGCAGCAGCGCTTGGCGTTTCTAAGGATAATGTTTGCTGCTTAAATGATAAGAACATGAGAGATGGCTGGCAGCAATGGAGCAGCAAAGCTGTGTGCAACGCGGTTAGGGGCTTTCTTAAATCGAAGCAGCAGCAAATACACTGCGTAAGGAGACACGCGAAGTTTGCATGCAGAACAAACAAACAGAACAAAAGAAGAAAGGAATGCAGATAGAAAAATTAAATTAACATAAAAAATATAAAATTAATTAACTAAATTAATTCAAAACGAGACAAATGCGAGAAACAAGCAGGCAATAACAAAGGATTGCTGCTACATGCGTTGCTGCTAATGAATAAGCAGATAAAGATATCTGTTTAATTGATGCTGCATGCGTTGCTGCTAATGAATAAGCAGAGACAGATAAAGATTATGATATCTGTCTTCTTGTTGTTGCAGATCTTCACCTTCGATCGCCAGGGGGTGTCCAGACACCCAAACCACGTCAGCGTATATGAGGGACTCAAGTGAGTAGCAGCAGCAGCAGCAGCAGCAGCAGCAGAAGCAGTGCTAGCAGCAGCAGTGCTGGCTGTAGCAGCTACAGCAGCAACTTGCAACCAGAGTAGCTGCAGTAGCATTAATGCAGCAGTGCCGGCTGCAGCAGCTGCTGCTACCAGAGTAGCCGCAACAGCATGCAGCTTTTTCGTTCGTTTTTTTTTCAGATTATTGAACGAAGAAGTCCTTGAGACGTGCAGGCAGCAACATGAGCAACAACTGGAGTTACGAAAGGGGGAGGTGGAGTTGAAGCACGACGTTAGGGAGCAGCAGCTGCAGCAGCAGCAGCAGCAGCAGCGGCAGCAGGATGGGGAGCAGCAGCAGGAGACCGATGAGGAGCAGCAGCAGGAGCTGCAGCTGCTGCCTTCTGTGTTTATCTTCTCCCTACAGACTCACTGCCTTATTCGAAAATATTGCGGTGCCTTAAACCTTATACCTGCAACTGTGGAAGCCAACAACAAGGGCGTGTGCGTGGCTGCTGCTGTTGCTGTTGCTGTTGCTGCTGCTGGTGCTGCTACTGGTGCTGTTGATGCTGATGCTGCTGGTGGTGCTGCTGTCGATGCTGCTGGTGCTGCTGCTCTTGCTGCTGCTGCTGGTGCCGCAGCTGTTGCTTCTGCTGGTGCTGTTGCTGCCGCTGTTTCTGCTGCTGGTGGTGCTGCTGGTGTTGGTGCATTGCTGTTGCTGATGCTGCAGTTGCTGTTGCTGCTGCGTCTACTGCTGTGTGCTACCGGCGAAGTGTGTGTTGTAGCTGCTGCTGACGGCTTCGCTGTTCTCCGGCATCTGGTTTGGGTGCTACTGCTGCTTGCTGCTGGGGCTTGCTGCTGCTGCTGTAGCAGGTGCAGCAGCAAGAATTTTAATTTTGTGGTTTTCTGTGTTCAGAGACGTTGCAGCCAGCCTTACACCTATGTCTGCCATAAGGTCTGTTGGTGGCGCTGCTGCAGTTGCTGCTGCTGCAGTTGCTGCTGCTGCAGTTGTTGCTGCTGTTTCTGTTGTTGCTGCTGCTGCCGCCGTTGCTGCTGCTGCTGTCATTCCTTGGTGGACGAGGAGGCGAAAGCAGAGCAGCAGCTGCAAGTTGGCCAGTAGCAGCAGCAGCAGCTGCTGCTGCTGCTGCTGCTGTTGCCTCCGCTGGGTGCTGCATGATCTGCTGCACGTGCTGCGTTTGCTGCTGCTTGTAGGGGCCTCCTGCATCACCGCTCGCAGCAGGTTTGGTTTCGCTGGCTGTTTGTCCTCTTTTCAAGGTAATATATAGATAAAAGAAGACTTAGAAAAGAAAAAGCAGCAAGGATCAATTAATTAAAGTGCAGCTACAATTTAGATAAGGTGTTGCTACACATACTCAGGCCGTTCGCGAGTTTTGTAGGGAGCTTTGTTGGATTGCTGCTGCTGCTGCTCTTGCTGCTTGTGCTGCTGTTAGTGCTGCTGTGTCTAATACGAGCGTTGCTGATACTGCTGTTGCTGGTAATGCTGCTGCTACGGCTGCTGCAGATAGTGTTGCTGTTACTGCGGTTGGTGATTGCGTTGCTGCTGCTGCTGTTTCTTCTGCTGTTGCTGCTGCATCAGCTACTCGTACACGAATGTCTACGCCCCCATCGATTGAATCTGCGGCAGCAGCCCCCATAATATATCGATGCTGATGCAGCAGCAGCAGCTGCTGCTACTGCCTCTTGTTGATGGCAGCAGCAGCTGCTGCTGCTGCTGTTGAGTCAGGCCCGTGTAACTCACAAAAGCTGCCGACGCTCCTTTGTTTGCTGCTTGGAAAGAATGATATTTTGTGCTGCTAAAGTGCTGCACTTGTCATGTTGAGTGCACGAACTTTTGCTTCTGCTGCTGTAGTTGCTGCTGCTGCTGTTGGTGGCTGCTACTGCTGCTGCTGCTGTTGCTGTCGCTGCTGGTGCGGCTGTTTTCTCGCTGCTGCTGTTGCTGCTCTTCTATCCTGCCGCTGGTGCTGCTGCAGCCGCTGTTTCTGTTGCTGCTGCTGCAGCATCTGCTGTTTTGCTGCTGCGGTTGCTGATGCTGCACTGAGACGGGCATTCGAGTCTGCTGGAGGGTGCTGCGGCAGCAGCTGTAGCACCAAAAGATGCGGCTTCTGAGGTGAAACAGCAAACTACAGCAGCAGCAGCCTGCTTCCCACTGCTGTGCTGCTGGTGCTACTGCTGCGGCTGCACTTCCTGCTGCAGTGCGCGAACACATACATATATAGAGGAAAACCTAAACATAAGGAGTCTGCCACGCCAGGAGCAACAAGGAAATCGCTATGCAGCAACAGTTGCTGCTGCTGCATGCACTGCTGAAGCAGCAGCAGCAGCTGCTGCTGCACGCACTACTAAAACAGCAGCTGCTGCTGCTGTTGCACGTGCTGTTAGGGCGGCAGCAGCTGCTGCTGCACGTGCTACTAAAGCATGAGCAGCAACTGCTGGTGCACGTGCTGCTAGAGCAGCAGCTGCTACAGCAGCCGCTGCTGCAGCAGCTGCTGCAGCGCCTCGGCCTCACGCCACCAACAGCAGCTGGTGAAGCAGCCGCTGTCAGCGAGGCAGCTGATACTGTGGCTGAGCCTGTTCTGCTGCTGCTATTGCTGCTGCTGTTGCTGTTCTTGCTGCTATTGCTGCTGAGCTGCTGGAGAGTTTACTGGTTGGCTTTGTCGGCGCTGTTCGCAGCACCAGCAGCACCAGCAGCATCGCCAGCAGCAGCATCGGCAGCTGCTGCAGCAAGAAGATCAGCAAAGTTGCTTCGACGGTGGTGCTTCACCTTCTCTTTGAATGCTGCATGCGCTGCCTCCCACGCCTCTTTGAAATTTTTCGTTTTTTCCTGATGCCGCCGCCCCGCCAACTGCGACACATCGATCCCCGCCTCCCCCTAAAAGCAGCAGCAGCAGCAGCAGCAGCAGCAATATTAAGGGCAGTTCAGATACAGCCAAGTGCAAATGGAGCAGTAGCAGCACCGGCACATATGGCAGCAGCAATTGCTGCAGCAGAAGCAACAGCACACGCGGAAGCAGCACAAGCAGCAACGGCACAAACTGCAGCAGCACAAGCAGCAGCAGCAGCAGCACAAGCGGCAGCAGCACAAGCTGGTGCATCGCGTGATACCTTGAGAATGCACGGCCACCATACATCAGCAGTCGGGAGAAGCTTTTTCTTTCTGAGATGAAGATCAAAGAAAAACGAAGCCGTAGGCAGCACTTCTTGTTGCAGCTCTTGTATACTGCTGCCGTTGCTGCCGCTGCTGCTGCTGCTGCTGCTGCTGTCTTCGCTGCTGCTACTACTAGCTGCTTGCGGCCGCTGCTGCTGCTCAGCAAGCTGCTGCAACTGCTGCCAGTTAATGCGCCGCTCTGTAACCTCCCAGAGCCAGGAATCTTCATCTGCTTCCACAGGGTGAGGGAAGCTCCCCTCTAACAAGACGTGTTCTCCCTTTCTGCTGCTGCTGCTGCTGCTGCTGCTGTTGCTGCTGCTGCTAGTGGTGGCTGTTGTGGAGGATTGGAAGGCATCAGAAGAGCAGCAAACGCGAAGGGTCTGCTCTGTGAGGTGTACACGCATATCTCTACCGCGGACGCCTAGCGGCAGCAGCAAAGACAGCATAACTTCATTTGGTGTTTGCTTCCAGAAGTAGCGCCCTGAGCTGACCCCCCCATTTTGAATAAGTTTCTCCATCTCTGATTTACTTAGTCCTGTTGATAGAACTGCAGGAAGGCCTGCTGCTGCTGCTGCTGCATCTGCTGCTGCTGCTGCTGCTGCTGGCAATTCTGCTGCCTGAACCGGGCCGCAACGGGGCCATTCGTGTGCATCTTCAAAAGACATCCCTGTCTCAGTGAGCGCTTCTTGCTGCTCCTCTTCCACCCACTTCTGCAGCATCTCCTGCTGCTTCTGCTTCAGTTGCTGCTGCTGCTGCTGCTGCGCTGCCTCTGACTTCGACAGAATGTTGAAACCTGAAGGACCAATGGTCACTGTCTGGTCTTTTGTTAAACGCCGCACGCGAGGCGCATGCGCTTCTTCTTCTTCCTCTTCTTCATCTCCTATGTGATCCCATTTGCTGTAGTCAATTCCTCTCCTGCTGCTGCTGCTGCTGCTACTGCTGCTGCTGCTGCTGCTGCTGGGCAGCGCGTGTTTGCGAGAAGCAGGGGACTCCTCATCAGACTCTTCCTCCTCGCTCTCGCTCACCTCCAGTTTATCCCATTTGCTGTAATCTACCATCTTCTGCCTGCTGCTGCTGCTGCCCCTGCTGCTGCTGTTGTTGTTGTTATTGCTGCTGCTCCAGCAAATGCCTCTGAGGCAGCTGCTGCCTTGATACTTTTCTTCGAATTAGAGGTGTAGCCAAGTTTAGAACAATACCCCGAAGGATAGGTGACGGGGCTGCTGCTGCAGCAACGATCGTACTGCTGATGCTGTTGCTGGTGCTGCACCTGCTGAGTTAATGCTGTTATTGCTGTTATTTTGCTGCAGTTGTCGCTTCGTTTTCCCTTTTATTAATGTGCATTATCCTCTCCTAAGCTTTACTACTGACTGCATGCACAGGCAGACAAACCCTTGCAGCAGCAGCCGCTGCTGTGGGCCCCAATCTGCTGCAGCAGACTGATGCAGCAGCAGCAACAGCAGCAGTAACAGCAGCAGCCTGGCTCGAGGCGGAGTGAACAACATGAACTTCAAAATAATTGGGGTAATTTTATGGAGTTCTCCTCTCAGAAAATTATGCAGAACCTCCTCATTGACTGCCCTCTGCGTCTCGCGTAGATAGGAGCAGCAGCAGCAGCAGCAGCAGCAGCAGCGGCGGCGGCGGCAGCAGGACTGGCAGCGTGTAGCGAGTGTGTGTGTGTGCGTGTGTAAGCGGCTCCGTCTACTGCGACAAACCCTTGCCTTTCCCTTGCAAAAACTCAGCTCCGCAGCAGCAGCAGGAGCAGGAGCAGCAGGAGCAGCAGCAGGAGCAGCAGCAGCAGCTGGAGGTTTCTTTTCTGCATCCGACAATGTTTGAGCGCATGCGTTCTTGGTTTGCTTCCTCTAAAGAGGTGGGAGGCATGGGGGTATTGTTTTCTTCACTTGCTGCAGGCAGCGCCCCGGCTCACTGCCGCAGCTCCTCCTCTACCTCTGGAGCAGCAGCAACAGCAGCAGCAGCAGCAGCACCAGGAGGAGGAGCAGCAACAGGAGCAGGAGCAGGAGGCTCAGATTTATTGCAACCTATTTCTTCTGGTGCTCCTTCTGTATCTCTTGTCTCTGCTGCAGACTATCCGACACCACAGAAGTATTTAGATAATCCAGATTCAATTCCTACATATTATACATTTCAAAGTAATATGGTTTCTGATGAAGATTTACTTCCGGGAATGTTAAGAAATTTAGAGGTTGATAGAAGGCTAACTCTGCCTACACGTACACATATACGTTTTCTCGTTACAGCAACAGATGTTATTCATTCTTGGTCTGTACCTGCACTTGGTATTAAAGCTGATGCTATACCAGGAAGACTGCAAAAGGTAAATACCTTTATTCAGAGAGAAGGAGTTTTCTATGGACAGTGCAGCGAGCTCTGTGGGGCCCTTCACGGGTTCATGCCAATAGTTGTAGAGGCTGTCAGCCCCGAAACATATGCGGCGCATGCAAAGAAGTGGTATAAAGAGTAAATAATATCAACAGCAGCAGCAGCAACTCTGTCAGCACCAGAAACTGCAGCAGCAGCTGTGCCGACAGTGGCAGCTGCAGCAGCGGTAGCAGCGGCAGCAGCAGCTGTGGTAGCAGCAGCAGCTGTGGCAGCAGCAGCAGAAAGAAGAAGGCTAACACAAGGAAGGAAGCAAGCAGGGCGATCGCAACGGCGTTGCGGGGCTGTAGATAAAATTACAACAAATGGAGGACCGGGGTTAGTGTTGCAGCAGCAGCAGCTCCAAGAGCAGCAGCAGCTGCTGCTGCTGCTACAGCTGCGTTGCTGCTTCTGATGCTGTTGTGGTGGCGCGTTGACGGTTGTGTAATTTGCTGCAGGTGCAGATCATACCTACAGGAGAGCTACTCCTATTATAATATATATATATATTATATGCATGTATTGTATATCATGCATACCTATACATCATATATATATGTATATAATATGTATACATATATGTATGTATATATACATCTGTATATATAGATATACGTATCTAGGAGGATGTGCAGTATATACTGCAATTTATTATATATATAATATATATATATATATATATATATTACATGTATATATATATATATATATGGCGGACTGTTTCCTACAGGGTGAATAGCAGAAGAAGAGATTCACTTCACTCGTTGCTTGCTGAATAAAGCGTGTATGAGCGCAGCTGTATATACACTGCGTCTCTGTGTGCAGCGGGAGGCTTTTAGTTGCTGCTTGCAGCGGCTGTCCCCCCAACTGCAGCAGACAGAAAGCGGTGCTCTCTGAAGAGTAGTGATGCATTTGCATGCACTTGCTGCTCCCAAGGGAAAGCTGTGAAGCAACAGCAAAAAGCAGCAGCAGCAGCAGCAGCATATGCACCTACAGGAGCAGCAGCTACAGCAGCCGCTGCAACAGCGGCATCAGCAGCAGCAGCCGCTGCAAAACAGCAGCAGCAGCAGCAGCCTGTGCAGCAGCAGCTGCTGCAAGGGGTTCATTTGTTTTGGTGGTAGCTGTTGTTTGCTGGATTTGTTTAGTGCTGTGGCATATTAACACGCTTTCTTTATTTTTGTTGAAGCGTTGGGGCTTGCTTATTTAGATGCATGTGTTTGCCTTTACACCAGTAGATAACGGCAAACGAACGCAATTAGTAGAAAGACAACATCTTTTAAGGGCTTCACAAAGTATAGGCAAAGCAGCCGAATGTACATACACCTGACGTACTGCACCATAATTGTTTCAGCACTTCTCTTGGTAGTCATTTCATTCATTTGTAGCTTATATCCATGTACGCAGTTGTACAAGGCATGCATACACGCACATGCACATGAGTGCGCCTGCATGCATGCGTTTGCATGAATGCATGCATGCATACTTGCAAGCATATCACGATATGCATGCATGCATGCATATCATCCCTTGTTGGTTAGTGAGCGGCGTTAATGGCTGTTACAAACAAACCAACAGATTCGTCAGTGATGCCGCTGATGAACTGATTTATACAGACAGCCGCAACTACCGCTGCTCCTCACAACCTACGAGCTAAAAGAAACATAACGCAGCACAAAGCACCTAATGCAGTGCAGTGTTGTATATTTTGCTGCTGTTATTATTCTATTTGCTTGGTCTTACACTTGCACAGCGATACGATGGGTGGCAGAAGGGGCAGGAGCTCCTGTTGTGAACTGGGACTCAATATATTAATTTGTTGACTGTTCAGGCGTACACCCACAGCCCAACAGTAAAAGTATACTAAAGACGTACGAATATAGCAAACACGCGCGTGCTGGTTAAGTAAATGCAGGATGCGATGTGGTGATTATAGTGGAATAGGAACCTAAGGAGGAAATACTTCAGAATTGGGTTCGTGTTGATATGGATATAAACAAATGTAGATGGCCGCACAACACAGGGGCCCCAAATGACACTAAACATTTGCACGGTCACACCAGCGAGAAAGGGATATAAGCGTTAGTTGAATGTACGCAGAAGCACCAATACATGGAAGATGCATTTAACACAGTTACTTTATGAAAAATGCATCTTGAAGGCTGAACCTGTCATCGTGATGTACGGGAGCATGCGAAAACTTGGTGAGGAAGACAATTGATAAATAGGCTGCTGAACCCTGCAAAAAGACAAGTAGTTCGTCGATCAGGGGCAATGGATCTTTTTTTCCCTGTAATTTTATTGGGGGGCTAGGATCCTATGCACATGCGCCACTTCCCGTCCTTGTTCGTCAGCAATGGATTATGTTCAAATGCACGAGTTGGCGGTTGAGCTTTGACTCTACATTAAAGTTCTTTTCTTGCAGTTCCATTTCCCGATACTTGGGGTGCGAGTACTAAGGGAAAAAAAATTGGGGGTGCACCGGGAGAGTGCTTTATTCGGTGCGTTGGGCGTCCAGGGGCTGGCCGACAAGCGAGTAGCAAGAGGCATCTTTCTGCAGCTGCCTGTGATTGCGTGTTCTTCAGCTGTGATTTCTTTTGCTGCTCACCCAGCGTTGAAGAGAATCCTATCATCACCTCCGATGCTGCCGGCTTCGTGGTATGAGATGCTGATTCCCCTTCTCTTACGGTACAGGAAACAAGCTCTGGTGCGAACGCTGTGCGGCGCACTGTCTCATTCCTTCCCGGCACACATGTCTCAATAGTATCGTCTGGAAGCCTCATGTGCACCTTTCAGTGAGTTAGCCACGGGACGCCTAGTGTATTTCGTAGTAAAGAAGCCTACCAATCCTTGTGTGACTCTGCATAAACGTTGTCTCATGTTAACATGTCCATCTCTGAATTAAGCCCGCGTTTAGCACCCACAGTCTTACTGATTGCTGTTACCTATCTCACTAAGCAAGGCGTTGTCGGAAAGACTGCGCCAACGATTAGGCGGGTATTGTGCACCTCCTCTTCTTAGTTCCATATATCAGTTTCACTCAGCCGCCTGTAAGCCTCATTAAGCGCTTGGCCAAGCACAGGGCTGAGCCCAGACGGATCTGTAGGTGTGGCTGTCACCTTCTTTTGCCCCATCATTTCGTCGCACGTTACGTGGGGACAAGGGATTTTCGCTGGAGTCTTTGTTGACTTCTCAGGAGGAGGTCCTTAATGTCTTACTGGTCCAGTTCCTCATCGCTTTTCCTGGGCCTTCAACATCAGAAACTGTGGCTTTCCATGTTGAAAGCCACAGTAAACATGCATCCGTCTGAGTGCCGGATACGCCTGCTGCAATCTGTTCTTGCTCCATGTCTTTCTGAGGGACGCGGGTATTTGCAGCCCCAATATTCATAGGCTTTGTATCTTTGCCCCTATCACACCCGTTTCCTTCTTCCTTAGCGAAGGCGGTGGAAGTGGGGCTTTTCTCTCTAGGTTGCATGAGTATTCTATCGCCTCGGCGTGATCAACTATTTCACCTCTTTGTTCCCTTCCCGCGCCGCAGCAGGCTACTGAACGCCTTTCTCTGGGGGTTAGCCCTTCTATGATGTATTGTTGTAGAAACTCCGAGTGCATTGTGGAGTTATGTTCGCCAACAGCTAGTAATTTTTCGATTCAGCGGGCTTTTCAGTAGATTCCCCTGTTAAGGTTCT